TATATTTTTAAATGCATTATGAAGTATTTTATACATGTCAAATATATATAAGTAAGAAACAAACACTCATGTATCTACAACACACCTAAAAAAAGAAAGATTACTAATGGAGCTGAAGTCCAAGGCTCCCTTCCATGTGGCTCTCACCCCAATCCACCCCCCACCACCCGTCCTACAGAGGGAGCCATTATCCTATTCTTGTGGGTGGCCTGTCTTTCTTATTAATGAGTAAGAAAGTCTTTATGTACTCTGGATACTAATTCTTTTTTTTATTATGAATTATTTATGAATTAAATAATTTCCTACTTTGTCTTTCTTAAAACTTTCCATAGTGCCTTTTGTAAACAAAAAGTTTAATGTCATTAAATAACTTGGAATGTCCTAGGCCACAGCACGTGTGTGTGTGTGTGTGTGTGTGTGTGTGTTTAACATCAAATTCAAAAGAGAGTAGGCCTGTAGACATTTCCCCTGCCAGTGCCCAGGCTGAGGCAGACACATATCCTGTGACCTGTTTTTGCTAGCAGGTGGCTTTGCCCAGGTTTACCTTGTCAGTGAGGCGCAGCTCTGCTAGGGCTGCCTCTGCTTTTCAGCCCACTCCAAAGGGTTCACAGGCTCCACGTCTTGTCTTCTCTTCTGATCTCACTTAAAACATGGGGCGGGCTTACTGAGATCTGCAAATGCTCCCTGGGTGGTGCGGTGGGCTTCTTGTGTTTTCTTTCTTCTGGTGTTTTTGTTTGTTTGTTTGTCTGTCCCTGGAGAACACTTCTATGGCCCAAGACATCCCAAACTATGAGAAAATGATCACATGAGACCAAGATGGGCATCACTCAGAAGAGCCTGGAGAACACGAAAAGCAAATCCACGTGAGAGGAACCCAGGCTGAGGAATTCCCACAGTTAGGAGCCCAGAAAGACATGAACTTCAAGGACATCACTGCACAGTGGTCATGAACAAGCACCAGCAGACAACAGGAAACAGAACTGGATGTGTGAGCAGAACTGATTTGAATTATATTTGTAGCATTTTGCCCAGGATTGCTAAATGTTCTGTAGCCCAAGGGTTTTTCACAATACCTAATGGCCCAATGCTGCCAGGAAGAGAAGTCATTACATGTGTTTTCAATCACAGTGTTAGGTACTCCCGTTTCACTTTAATTTTCCTTATTTCCTTAATTTTTCTTCGCAAAAATATTTTTTAATTTACTTTTTCTGTATGCTGAGCTACTTATTTTTATTCTTTTATTAAAAAGAAAATTATCATCCCTGGCCAGGTATCTCAGTTGGTTAGAACATTGTCACAATATGCCAAGGTTGTGGGTTCGATCTCTAGTCAGGGCACATACCAGAAGTAATCAATAAATACATAAATAAATGGAACAACAAATTGATGTCTCTTTCTCTATCTCTTTCCCCCTTCCTCTCTCTCTCTCTAAAATCCATAAGTAATGTCTTAAATAAAAGCAAAGAAAATTGTCTTACTAATTTAGAAAAGCATAATATATAAGGCATCCTAAACAATATTTTATTTTATTAAACAAATAGTTTATTTTATTTTTCTTTTTAATACATTTTATTGATTTTCTAAGGGAGAGAGACAGAGAGCAAGAAACATCTATGAGAGAGAAACATCGATCAGCTACCGCCTGCACACCCCCCACTGAGGATGTGCCCACAACCAAGGCACAACCAGAATCAAACCTGGGACCCTCCAGTCCGCAGGCCAATGCTCCATCCACTGAGCCAAACTGGTTTCAGCCTAAACAATATTTTAAAACCAGTGTAACTGAATGCTCTTTAAAAACAATCTTAATTTACAATGCATAATTAAATTGTGTTAATTTACCTAGGAGAGTGGCATAATACATTCTTTTGGGGGCTTACATATTAGACAAGACTAAAGCTGGACTCGTGTGGCTCAGTGGTTGAGCATGACCCAGGAGCCAGGAGGTCACAGTTCCCCTCCCAGTTAAGGCACATGCCTGGGTTTGGGGCTCAATCCCCAATAGGGATTGTGCAGGAGACAGCTGATCTATGTTTCTCTCTCATCATCGATGTTTCTCTCCCTCTCTCCCTCTTTTTCCCTTTCTCTCTTTTTAATCAATTAAAAAGAAGAAGAAGAATGCAGAGTTAGAATGCAGAGCTAGGGTGTGCAGATGGCGTGATATTGGAGAATTTTTGTTTTCTTCTTTGACCCCAACACCTTTGAGTTCACAGTTTGGGTCCAAGTAATGCTACAGTTATCTAGTAAGTACTATTTTTAAAATTTAATTTTTCCTTAGGAGACATCTAGTAGTTTCTATAAAACTATAGGTGATTAATAAAAGAACAGGGACAAATGTAAGTTTCAAAATAGAAAGCTGAAGCAAGAGGCAAGCAGTGTTTGAGAACAAAGGCTAGAGCACATATAAAATAATAAAATAAAATAAAATAAAAAACAAAGGCTAGCTAATCAAGAAGCACTGACTGAGGCAGAAACCTAAATTGTGTTCCAATAATGGGACTGAAGGCAAGAGGTTTTTATGAGGAAAAGCAGGGAAATCATTACGTGAAAGAAGGAAGGAATTTGTATTGCCGTTAACAAGCTAAGTTATTCTTTAGCTCCATGTGGCTGCTTACTAATTCTATAGAATGTCTTTATTTTTAGTCCTATAGTCAAGGGTGTTTCCTGTTAGCTGTACAACTGTTTGGAAGGTAATGCTGCTCCGGCCCAGGCCAAAGGTTATTTTGCCAAGTTTGAAAGTTCAAGGAGTAAGACATGCAGATGGGACTGGAATTGCTGCCCGGCTCCACTTGTGCCAACTTTTCACAAGGTTTTATCTAAAAATGCGGGGTTAGGACTTGGTAGAGCTCCAAGCAGAGGTGATAGATGCCTGCAGGAAGAGTTTGGACAGAGAATTAACAGTTGGAGGACCAACCCCAGAGAATTAACAGTTGGAGAACCAACCCCTGCTACCAGCAAACTCTAGGCTAGTTTCTTAGCTGATTGGAAAATATGTCTAGTCCCCTCTCCACAATCTTTAAATCACCAGCCCTTTCTAGCCTCTGCGTCTTTGTTTTTTTTTTCCGGCAGCACTTTATATTTGCTTCTTTTTCCCCAAAATATATTTTATTGATTTCAGAGACACAGGGAGAGGGAGAGAGAGAAACATCAATGATGAGAGAGAATCATAGATCGGCTGCCTCCTGCAGGCCCCCCACTGGGGATGGAACCTGAAACCTGGGCACGTGCCTTTGACCAGAATCAAACCTGGGACCCCTCAGTCCATAGGCCAACACTCTATCCACTGAGCCAAACCAGATAGGGCTATGTTGGCTTCTTACACTTGGCTCTGTTTTCTATTCTTTTTGGCCAAATGCAGTGCAGACTAGTAATGACCTCCCCACCTGACTGCACTAGGTTCCCAGTAGATCCTGTGCCCTCCAGGCTTAGGCATTGGTCATATATGCAGCCATAATTACCTTCACATGCATAGTTATGTTGGTTCTTTGAAAACCATTAAGATGACATCTCCCTACTCACTGGGTCTCTTCTTCCCCAGAGCTCCCCTCAACCATATCTGTCCCCCTCCTCAAATCACTGGCTGGTGATCACACCCCATCTCACTGGGGGAGGTCTTTTCACTTCGTTTGTTCTTGAATCTTAAGACACCAGCCAGATGTCTACCGTTAGCTGATTGAGCCTGCTATTGAGGCTCCAAATCCTGTGAAGAGAGAAAGGAAGAGGGAGATAGAAACATCAATGAGATAGAATCATTGATTCATTGCCTCCTGCACGCTCCCCTTCTGGGGATCGAACCTGGAACCGAAGCATGTGTCCTGACTGGGATTTGAACCTTGACCTTCTTCACCTTCAATTTTCTTAACCACTTGTAAAAAAGCACACTTCACAAAGACAAGCGTGAAGTTTCCCCTGGGACAACAAAGTGAATTTGGTTTGAGCAAAGGATAATTATTCTGTTAGCATGTGGGCTTTTTTTTTTTTTTTTTTTTTCTTCTCCCTGTAGGGATGTTAGTGGGACAAGGGTCTCAAGGTCTGGGCAGTTGTAAAGGTTATTACTAAATGTTATTCTTGCTAAATGTTAAAATGTAATACAGCATTTTGCAGGCCAGCTGTAAACAGGATAGGCTTGACAGGAACCCCAAACGGGATGCATGTAGCCAACTGTAAAGAAGAAATCAATGTGTAATTAAGCAAATGTGTATATAAGCAATGGTTAACTTGGATGAAATACTTTAAGGGCACTGGGCATAGAAAGGAGCAGGGGCGGGAAGACATGGTCAATAGGGAAGGAAGCCGATTACTAACTACATTTACTCCACGATTATGTCTGACTCCGGGGAAAATTTACATTGGAAGCTATAAACATCCAGGTAGAATAAACTTGCATTCCTGATCTGCCTGGATCCGGTATTAGTGTTGTCACGGGCCAAAAGCGCGCTCACAGTCCGGCCTGAGAGAGCCCAGTACAAAGGGCAGTGAACAGAGGTGACCACAGAAGACTGCGCCGATGGGAGGACGGAGTCTGATCCGGTGGCCGCGGAGGGAGGCTGGGCACGGGGTGCGGTTTGCACTTAATGTGCAGAAGGGCTTCAAGTCCACCAAGGCCAGAAAAGCTCCCTCGGAACGTGATCCGCACACAACGACAGGAGGCGTGCCTGGCAATAAGCACAGTGAGGTCCCTGCGCCCCAGCTGCTGCTTCACCCGGGTCCGGGAGAAACACCAGCCGGCGACCCACGAACCCACTGGAGAACAATCTCCAGGCATCCGGCGGAGAGCCGGGAGCAGCTGGGGTGCGCGCTCGGGACCACGCCCCTGCCCGGCCCCGCCCCCTGTCCTCTCTCGTGATTGGTGCCCAGGGAGCATGTACTCAATGGTGCGCGCGCAGCGGCTGCTTCCCCTCCAGTCCATGGCTGGGATTGGTGCCCTCAGCTCAAGGGGCGGGCTTTCAGGTGAAGGTGCGCGCGCAGCGGCTGCTTCCCCTCCCTTCCCTGCCTGGGATTGGTGCCCTTGGCTCAAGAGGCGGGCTTCCAGGTGAGGGTGCGCGCGCAGTGGTTGCGTTAATCCGGATGCGACCTCCTCCGGCCGGCGGGGCTCGGAGTCACCGCGATGGCGGCCTTCGTTCTGCTGCGGCAAGGGCGAGCCGGGGCGCTGAAGGTAAAAGGGAGCCGGGCGGTGCCTGGGAGCCCACACAGGGCCGGGGCGAGGAGCGCGGCCCTAGCGGCCACTTCTGGCCGCCGTGGGAGACGCTGACCGGCTTCCCGGTGGAGGGGAGAGCGCCTGGCCCGCGCTGCAGCCGGGGTGGGGGCCGGCGAATGGACCCCCGAAGCCGGCCGGGCTCCCGGGGAAGCTCCGTTGTGCGGGGCTCCCGGGCGGCGTGCGCCTCCGTGCGCTGTCAGGGCCGCCCCGGACCGCGTCTGTACTTACTGGACCAGGAGGAGAAGTGAGGGACTCCTGGGTGTCTAGGTGACCTGGTCACTAAGCAGTTACTCAGAAGCCAGCTAACGGTACCTCGCGCGTGGAAAGAAAGAAAGAAGGGTTTGCTTTCTCCACATGTAAAAACAGGCCACTTCACTCTATTGAAAATGTGAAGAGGTTCTTATTGCCAAAGCAGTAACTATTCATTTGAAGTACAGATGGGAAATCTGTTGTCAAAAGAGTCTGCTATTTACACCTTGACATATCTAGTGGCAAATAAGCTTTTCTGCTTTCATATACACACGTGGGTAAAAAGTTATAAACAAAAAATAGTTTATCCCTCAGATGTACACCTCTGTTCTGTGTGGAGCATCTAACACAGTGCCCACCACGTAGTAATAGTAAATAATATGCTGAGTAAAACAACAGTTTATAAAGTGCTTTCCTCTTATGATATATTGTAAACAATTTTGTAGCAATTATTAATGTATTGATAGATAATTTTTCAAGTACCCAAATGCTAATAGTGCGTGTTCTTGAACTCGTGTTTTTCTCCTCTTGCGGTTTTTTTGATGTTTTATAATCGTTATAAATATGCCATGTGAGTGCAAAGCAAAGCATTTATATGTAGTAATAATACACAATCTTTATATGTAGTAATAATTGTAAATACTAAAATAGTCTTAATTTTTTTTTTTGAATTTTTACATTACAGTTTACTTTCAATATTATTTTGTATTGGTTTCAGGTATACAACATAGCAGTTAGGCAGTGATATACTTTACAAAGTGTTCCCTGATATTTTCACCTGGCACCATACAAAGTTATTGCAATATTACTATGTTCCCTGTGCTGTACTTTATATTCCCTTGACTATTTTGTAACTTCCAATTTGTACCTCTCAGTCCCTTCACTTCTTTCACTTAGTCCTCCAACCCCACTTCCCTCTGGCAATTACCAGTTTTCTCTGTGTCTGAGTCTGTTTTAATTTTGTTTGTTCTTCAGATTCCTGAAATTATCCTTATTAATTCTTTTGTCAGACTCTGCTTCTAGACGGACCAGTGTTTCGAGGTCTCGCGTCTACAGCTGCTCTCTCTGCAGAATCAGGAAAGAGTGACAAGGGAGTGCCACCAAATTCCAAGAAGCAAATTCCACCCAAAAGTAAGATCTTAATGGTGGTCATGGGGGGGAAAGAATGCAAATAAATCAGTCAGCTTTCCAGGAATAAAAAAGAGTTTTACTGGCTACATAATTTACGATTGTTCGTTCCAGCCGCATCCAGTTTATAATCAGACTTAAGATCTGTAACAGATTTTAGACCAAACACATCAGAATTGTAACAGTCTTTTACTCAACATTTAGGCCTGAACTGGTTCTGTCTGTGTTTACTAAATGATATGTAGCAGCGGGATGCAGAGTATAAAGGCTCTGGGTATTCAGATGGGCCTGATACAGACCCCGTACTCCTGTGAGGTGGCCATAAACCCCACTTTGCTTTTATTTCCCTGATGGTGACTTTTTTCAGTGTTTTGAGACTCCTCTGTAGTCTGCCAAGCTTTGCTCAGCCACAGTCCAGGACTGCAGGCATCAACATTTTGTGACTGTGAAGAGAGTTAAGAGGAGGCACCATTTTTCATCATATGACTGACTTTGATTGAGTATGATGTCTGCTTTGTTTTGAGCTCTTTCTATAGTCATTTTGACTATGGCACCAGTTTTTACTTTACTTTTCCCTGGATACCTATGTAGCAAATCCTCATTGAAGGAAAAGGGGAAATGTAACAGTATATGCTTTAAATACTTCTGGGAATTTTATGTTCTATTCCCCGCATTCATTTTTAATTGGTTATAATCCAGATTCACTGCATTTGGTCTTAACTGATGAAACTTTACTAAACTCTTAATATATATATATATATATATATATACACACACACACACACACACACACACACACACACACACACATATATATATATATATATATATATATGGTATCTGTAGTCTCTTGGCAAATCTTTTGTTTTCTTTTTTATTATTGGGGTAACATTGGTTAATAAAATTATATAGGTTTCGGGTATACAGTTCTATAATACAACATCTGTTACTGTGTATTCACCCCAAGTCAAATCTCCTTCCATTTATATCCCCTTACCCTCTTCCACCTCCCCCTCCCCCTTCCCCTCTGGGAATCACCATACTATTGTCTGTCTGTGAGGTTTTTTGTTTTTGTTGTTTAATCCCTTCACCCAGCCCAGAAACCCTCCTCCCCTCTGACAGCTGTCAGCCTGTTCTCTATCTATGAGTCTGTTTCTATTTCATTTATTAATTTTTTTGGCACATATTTAATATGTATGTGGAGTTTAGAATGATAATTTCAGTTTGTCTTATTTTCCTGAAAATACCATTTTCTCAGTTTAAACGTGTTTAGATTCTTTTGTTAGATCCCTCGTAGGTTTGCACACAAAAACATGAGTAGGTTGTAAGAGATTGGCCCTCTGTTGAAAGTGCCAACCTGCCAACTGCCTTTCACATGCCATTGACCTCAGCTAAGAAGACACCTTCCTGGTGGTGTCTTCGGCTCCTGTACACTGGAGGCCTTATTTTGACAGGAACATTATTTAATTCTGCCCTGTATCTGTTTCATTTTTAAATCCAGTGTTCTCTGTGTTTTTTTTAATCCATAAGTTTTAAAATAATTATTTTAAATAAGAACTTAATTTATCTTTGTGTGGACATAACCCTAATACCATTATCACACTTAAAACATGTTTATAAGAATGTCAGTCAAGCCCTAGCAGGCTTGGCTCAGTGGATGGAGCACCAACCTGCGGACTGCATGTTCCCGGGTTTGATTCTGGCCAAGGGCACATGCCTGTATTGAGGCCTGATCCCCAGTGGGAGCTGTGCAGGAGGCATCTGATCAATAATTGTCTCTCATCATTGATGTTTCTATTTCTCTCTCCTCCCTTCCTCTCTGAAATCAATAAAGAAATATATTTAGAAAAAAAAAAAAAGAAAAGAAAAAAGTATGTCAGTTAAATTCTGTGGGTGCCAAGCTTGTTTCTAACATTCTTTCATTGTTTACTGATGAATAACTAATTGAATTTCATTACTAACATTACCCTTGGCCTTGAAGAAATTTTATCTTTTTCTTTCTGGGCTTTTTCCCCCCTGTTTGGACAGTAAGTTTATTACTGTCTTTATCTGAAAGTATGCATAAAAAATTGTGGTTTGATTTATTAGCTCTCAGCAGCCCATTCCTGAGCTCTGAGGAAGCCTGCCTTCTGAGCTACCAAATCTTTTTTCTAGACACTTTGGAATGTCTAGAGACGTTTGGGAATGTCTTCTTTCTTAGGCCTCTTCCCATAGACAGGATTCTCGTATAGCAGCACAAGATTTCTCATACAGCTCCTTTGTGTCTGGAACTACATCGTTCTTTATGAACTTAGAGAGTTGTTTTTGGTAAGCATCTTTATCTTCTTCCATTAGGTAGCACATATAACCTACAGTGTTCTGACCTGTTATGTACTTCCACAATGAATCCCTTGCTTTCTGAATCATAACCAGGGAACCATTTAGTACAGTGCAGGATAGACAAGCCTCCATCCACAGCTCCCTTCAGGGCCCCAAAAACTTTATTGCCAGTAGTAGTTCCGACAAGCCCTGCATCCAAATAGCAGGTGAAGACACCAGATTGACCAGCGATGCTTTCCTCATTCTATTCACCTGTAGCCACCTCCACTTGGCCTTCATAGATCTTGCCCATACCAACTCTGTTGAGAAGCCTGCAGGCCAGTATAATATACTATAGCATAATGTCAGGCCAACCCTCACTCCATACTTTGGGAGCTCATGCGTATAAACTGCACAAACCATTCTGTCTCCTTCTATACAGGCCTAAGCAATCTGACAACTCATGTCTTTATTACACTGCTATCACCCTGCTTTGGGGTGTGTTCTGCTTATTTTTGTCCTGGACTGCCAAGCATTTATGGGCATAGTAATCGGTTTTTCCTTCTCATCACCGTCTAAATTTCACTTGGTATCTCTTGAAGTAGGCCTTATTTTTTTACAGCTTTAACAAACCCTGTTTTGCAGAAGAGAGATCCACATTCGTGGCTCTGAAATTTTATATATACAATCTTGCTCCATAAGCTTATGAAATTGGGTTATGGATTTTAAAGTATGGCAGACCCAAACATTCCCTTTTTATTTTTTATTTTTTTAAATATATTTTATTGATTTTCCACAGAGGGGAAGGGAGAGAGATAGAGAGCTAGAAACGTCAATGAGAGAGAAACATCGACCAGCTGCCTCCTGCACACCCTCCACTGGGGATGAGCCCGCAACCAAGGTACATGCCCTTGACCGGAATCGAACCTGGGATCTTCCAGTCCACAGACCGACGCTCTATCCACTGAGCCAAACTGGTTTCGGCCAAACATTCCCTTTTTACAAATAAGCTTCTGAATGTGAGCGGGAAAGAGATGCTTCTGTGACAGTTGGGGTGCAGTTATGAGAAGGGAACCCTTCGCTGGGATTGGCCTTGGCTTGTAGCTTTTGCCTCTGGATACCGCAGGCCCTGCAGGCCCCTGAGCCTCAGACCCTTCCTGCCTTAGTGGGGTCAGCGCATCCCAGAATTTAAAATACAGAGATCTCCATTTGAAGACAAAGAAAAAATGCTTCTGAATAGATGTGTGCAGGTGTCAGTGTTTCCCCAGAGCATCAGTGATTGGTAAGCATGAGACATAACCGCTTATCGCCCACAGGTGGCACACTGCCAGGCTAACCCCCTGCCAGTGGAGGGTGTGTTTTATTACATTTGTCTTTCAAGGAAAGTCACCGCCAAACTAAAACATTGTCAGCTCTGTTGGCATTCTGCTTCTAGACCAGGTGGGCACATAAGGCCTTGGAAATCTTTTGGTTTGGCCCTGCCAAAGCATTAGAGGTGAGCTAATTAAATGTTTGCCCAAATATAGCAGGCTCATTTTTAGGTTGATTGTTTTGTATGGCCCACGTGTGATGTTATACATATTCAAATGGCCCTTGGCAGCAAAATGCTTCTCCACCCCTCTGTAGACAAATCAGGGATTTCATGAAAACACAGTGAAGCCATCCTTACACTCAGAGTGTAGCCACTGTTCCTCTGCATGATGCCGCTGTGTCCCAGGAGCGTAGTTCCGCTCTACTGGATGCAGATTTGGTGTGAGCCTGGCACTTGGGTCCAGCACTTACTAGAGGCAGCCATAGACCATCGTGGCAGGCTTCCTTCTGAGTCACAAAGGATGTTGGCTGGGCTGCAGCGGGTCAGAAATGGACTCTCAGTAAAAAGCAGAATGCAGTAGTTTAGTCTATTAGCCTTCTCATGGATTCTCCCAACTTCTCACGAGAACTTTAAAGCATTCTTTCTTCGTATGGTGGAAGTTTCCTTTCCAAACAAAATTTTTAATTCTGTCATTGTTGATCTCATTTGAAATTTTCTTCCCATTTTTTAATAGTTGATGAATTAACCTATAATGCAATTTTGATAACTTATTTACAATTTTTAAAACCTCTATGACAAATTTTGGAAAATTTAGGTATAATTTTTCTACTCAAAGACCCTATCTAAGATATGCCTTATTTTAAATTACCTTTTTTTAAAAAACCCATTCCCTTTTCCACCCAATCCTCCCATTGTAACCTTCAGTTTGTTCTCCGGGAGTTTGTTTTGTTTTATTTGTTCATTTGTTTTTACATTCCATAGTATTTGTCTTTCTCTGACTTATTTCACTCAGCATAATACCCTTTAGGTCCATCCATGATGTTGCAAATGGCAAGGATTATTTTTCTTTTTTGAATTGTTGAGTAATATTTATATACCACATCTTTATTTATAATTGATGGACATCTAGGTTGCTTCCATATCTTAGCTATTTTAAATAATGCTGCAATATATCTTTTCGAATTAATGTTTCATCAGAAGTAGAACTGATGTTTTTATGGCAGCTCTATTTTTAATTTTTTTAGGAACTTTCATGCTGTTTTCCATAGTGGCTGTACCAATCTGCATTCCCAACAGCAGTGCACAAGGGTTCCCTTTTCTCTACATCCTCCCCAACATCTGTTCTCTCTCCCTCTCTCCTCTCCTTTTCTCCCTCTCTCTTTTTATCCTTACCCAAGGATATGCTTTTTTATTGATTTGAAACAGAAACAGAAACATCAGTCTGTTGCCTCCCGTAGGCTTCCCTGACCAGGGATCGAACTCCAAACCTAGTATGTGCCCTGACCAGGAATTGAACCCTCAACCTATTTGGTGTACAGGACAATGCTCCAACCAACCCAGCCAGGGCACTTGTTCCCTTTTGATAATAGCAGTTCTGACAGGTGTGAGATAGTATCTCGTAGTTTTGATTTACATTTACCTGCTGATTGGTGATGTTAAGCATCTTTTATATGAATATTGGCCATCTGTATATCCTCTTTAGAGTATCTGGTTAGGTCCTCAGCCCATTGTTTGGCGTTTCTTTTTTTCCTCGTTTTTAGAAAAGTTTTGCTCAGTGTAGAAGTGGATTAATGACACAGGTGAGAAGATTACTAGGATTAGGAGGCCAGCATATCTTGTTCATGGCCATTGGGCATACCTGAACTCTGGTTTGGAGAGACAAGGAGAAAGGGAGAGTTCAAGTGTGTATCCACTTCTTTGCCTCATTTTTATATTTGGCACGATCCCGGAGCTCTGTGTGCGTTCTGAGAGTTAACTGCATCAGCACTGCTCTGGGCGGTCAGGACGCAGGTTCTGCGCTGGCGCCTGGCCTCAGAATTAGCCGTGGCGTGAAGGAAGCGGTGCTGGAAGTGGAGGTGACGGCTCTAAACAGTCACCTACGCTCCAGTTCCGTCAGATCCTCTACATTGCCCATTAACCTCTGGCCCATTTCTGATTTGTTATTATTTCTGTTTTCTTTAATTATTTTCTCTCATTCTATTTTATATAAGTCCCTGAGCTCAGAAGACAATTAAAAACCTTTTGGATACTGGTTATATAGAAAAGCTAGGAATACAGTTTTTTCACTTTAGAGACATAAGATTGATATCTTTTTAGTATAAAATTGACTTCTAGACTTGAAAATCAAGACTGGATTTAGAGTTTGCTCATTTGTAATATTTCTTAAGTTTTTACTTTAGTTGAAAAGTAATTTTAATTTATAAAAACATGTCCTATATTTTTCTTTTAATCTGTATACTTACAAAAGATTTACCCCCTGAGAAAACTAAAAATAGCTCTAATGTACTGTGTAATTTCATTTTTCATAATTTACTTGACAAAATGTAAGACTTTTATGTTAGCGCTTACTGGATTTTTTGCAGTAAACCTGTTGCTTTCAATGATATATATATGTTATTTTAGACTTATGTGGTCTTATAATACTTTGCTTTCCTTAGCTAAAGAAATCCCCAAGTGGCTTATGATTTTGAAGGACTTCTCTTTCTTTAAGGGAAATTTCATTTGAACTACTTTATACCCTCCCTCTGTGTATGTGTGTCTGGTATTATGTGTGTGTGTATGTGTGTTTGTGTGTGTGTGTTTGTTTGTTTGTTTGTTTTATTAACCCTCACCAGAGGATATTTTTCTATTGATTTTTAGAGAGTGGAAAGGAAGGAGAGAGACAGAGAGATAAAAACATCGATGGGAGAGAGACGCATAGATTGGTTGCCTTCCGCACATGACTGGAGATCAAGCCAGTAACTGAGGTATGTGCCATTGATTGGAATCAAACCCAGGATCTTTCATTCTGTAAGCTGACACTCTATCCTCTGAGCCAAACCGGCTAGAGCATGATGTGTTTACCCCAAGCCCAAACCTGGCTTTTGTCTCTACTTTTGTTTTGCTATTTTGTTCAAAACGTTCAAGTTCATACAATATGGGTAACTTCTTTAATATATGAGAAGCACCAGTTTTTTTTAGGGTTTTAAGAAATTATACATTTGTAAAACTTCAACAGTCATCTGAAAGTATCTTTATATTATAGTTTAACCATCTTAAATTTGGATGAAATAGTTTAAAAATAATTACCAAAGAAGCTCTCTTGTGAAAAATGGAAACGTCCTGTTTTGAAAATCCCCATTTTTAAAATTTCCATTTACAAAAAAAAAAGCACCTACATTTCTTACTGTTCTCTCATGTGGTTTGGCTTTCACTTCCGAGTGGGTTCCCCTGAAATGTTTCTTGGGATTATTACATTGAAGATGTTATAAATGACAAGTTGGTATATGATGAAATGTCTGTGACATTGATGAATTTAGATTGTTTTACTAATTATTAAAAATAATCCTCTTTATGCCATTTCCTAGATGTAGTGGACCCAAAAGAGAGGGGCAAGCTACTAACCACTCCAACAGCAGCTGAGTTGTCTAAAAACTTAACTTCACCCAGTTCTTCCTCATCAGTTGTGAATCAAGGTGGGACGGTAGCTAGCCCTAACCCTGGTGACAACGTGCAATTTACAGATGACAGGGTTGCAAAGTTTTCATCAAGAAAGACTTTGGTAGAGTTTCCTGCAAAAGTTCCATCTTCATTCAGAAAACAGGGCTCCGATTCAGAAGCTCTTCAGAAGAGCAAGAGAGTGATGGACAGTTCATCTTCATCGTCATCTTCATCCAGCTCCTCTGATTCAGAGTCTGACGAGGAGAAAGATGGCTCAGCAGTTGGTTCTCAACTGGTGAGCAAAAGCAAAGGAAGGGTTTCAAAACCAGAGGCCTCCCCTTCCTTTGAGAATAGAGCCTCCAAAATTTCATTATCAGCAAAAGAGAAAACCAGGTCACCACAGCCACCACTGGACCTCCCCTTGCCAGAAAAGCCCCGTCAGGCAATGAAAGGGACCTCCTTTATGCCATTAAAGGACAAGAAAGATGAAGCAAAACCCACAGTACCCAAGTCACAAGGAGGTGAAGAGTTTATGAAGCAAAACGTAAAGGAAGAAAAACTGCAGAAAATAGTTAGCTCGAATAAAATAGATGAAAGCCAAAAGCCATTTGAAGGTAAAAAGATTCCATTTGACCATACGACATCAGGGTTATCTGCACAACCGAGTGGTGGCCCGGTGTCCACTCCATTGACAGAAGAACCCACCGCAGGAAGACGGCTGCAAGCAGCTCCTCCTGAGACCAGAGGAGGAAGCTTAGGAAAACCAGTCCCAAAGCCTGGTGGGGAGGTGCCCTTTTCCCCATTCAAAAAGGAAAGTTTGGGGAAGCAGCCGAAGGAAGGACCCTCAAAGGCTGACAAAGAGATGTTGGAAGATCGGGGACCAATGAAAAATTTGAAGCCAGTTCCTGTTCCTAATAAAGACGTTCTCCATGCAAAGACAACAGGACTAAAGCTTGAGGCAAAGGGTGAAACCATGGAAGACCCAGCAACCCAAGTGGGAGACCAGCAGGCCACACAGGGTACACCTTGATTGTTGAGAACTCTCCTTGTCCTTCGGGGGTGGTTAGACTGAAGAGCTAGGATATGAGGCATACTGTAATTAATCAGAGTCAGTAGGAGAAATATTGCCTATAACTCTCAGATAAGCAGAGGAGTCTATGAATTATGAATAATACATACCTTATAAACAAAACCCCCAAAATGTTTTACAAGGAAAGAGTAGGCCCTCGACACTCGTGGCTGCTCCTTGGCCAGTATAATTTTGAACGCTGGCAGTGTAACTCAGCACCCTTACCGGTGGAGGGTGAGCCAGTGTCCACTGCATGAACTCGCAGAGCAGCCCACTGAGGAAAGGGGAGTCCTGTTTAATGTGAAGGGCGGTGGTTACACTTGGTCTGATGGACTGCGTGAATCTTTCCACTGGACTCTTCCTTTTCTGCTTAATGAAAAAACAGTGGGCTGCTTTCCTTTTCCATGATCAATTTTATGACTGGCTTTTTTGATGCCACAGATTTTTAAAGGGAAACTGTTATTACATATTACCATTTACTTATACATTGAACTTCGTAAAATACAGTGCTTTAGGTAGGTCGTGGCAAAACAGGAAAGGAGGGCTCCAATTTTAGGGTCTGTGTCTCTTCAAGACACCTTTACAACGCATTACTAACAAACCCAGCTCCTTCCTGCCTGCTCTTCATACTTTTTAAAGAGTGTTCATTTTTTTCTGATTTATGTTACCTGGTCATTGTTATTGGTTGCGTTACGTTGACATAATTTACGTGTTTCCTTCCCTCCTTTTTCTCCGTTTGTCATTAATATGCAAAGTGCCAGCGCTTACCAGACTGCTCAGGACCTCAAGAACTGCATTGCCTAACGCTCCTGTTTCAGCCACTGTGTTGTAATGAGGAAAACCGAAACCTTCAGGAGGAAAGCACAATTTGGGGTTTTCAGATTGCAAATCTTTTTGAAAGACTTAGCTCCTAATTTTTCATGGATGTGTGGATTTTCAATATTCTCTTTGCCCTTTGGAGGTGAGCAATGCCGTCCAGGAGCGCAGGGGCTGTGTCTGTGCAGTGGACTGAATGTCCCTAAGTCCACCCGGCTCTGTGCCTTCCAAAGGGATCGGTTTTGATAAGTTTTCTGCACCCATGGTTACCTTCACTTTGAAGATGCCCCACACCACATCGAAGATACTCGACTCGTGGAGATTGGAAAGGTGTCACTCTTTCAGACATCATTTTTGCTTAATACAATTAAAAAAGGAAACCGAAACTTTTGTATGAATTCAAATAGTGGGAAAATGTATTTAACATTTTTGTGCAGCCCAGAGAGCTCCAGTGAGAACTTAACCCGGACCTTAGCCGACATCCCACGCAAGCTTGATCCTGCCACCATTCTGTCTTGCATTCCACCTTGCTGGCGAGCGATATTTCTTTTGCTTCAACCTCACACTTCTAATTTTAAGATTACCAAATATCTAGTGTATGGGTTTTAACTTTTTTCCACTTAAGGAAACAAAACTAAGTAATTTTAGTCTATGAATCTAAAAAGGGTTAAAACAGTTGGAGTTTAATTTTCTTGTATTCAGAGACTTAAAAGAGAGTCACTGCTTTTGAAAATTTTCTTCTGTAAATGTTTGTTTCTGTTTATTTCTAGTAGATCTTATAGTTTTCCCCTGCATCTTTATATGACCAAAGTCACACCTCCATAATTGTTCTACGTATTTTCAGAGTTCTGACAAGTCCAGGGCCTACAAGTACAAAAAGCAAGATGTTAAGACACATAATAGCTATTCCATTTCATAGGCTATATATTTTAGAATAGATTTTCAGCTAATCTCTTGATTTTGGTTTTGAAGATACTGTTGCTCTCATGGGCTTTCCTTTTCTAATTAACCATGTATAGCAGGTAGGGTTCTAACGAAGCTCTTTCCTCATTCGATATGCTCACTGTGCGTTTCCCCCACACACAGAGCCTGCACCAGCCGCCACTCCTGCCGCCGCTCCTGCCGCAGAGCCTCCTGAGCCGTTTGACAACACCACCTACAAGAACCTCCAGCATCATGACTACAACGTGTACACCTTCTTAGACGTGAACCTGGACCTCTCGAACCGGAGGTTGCCTCAGCCCTCTTCCGGCCGGGAGTCACCTCGCCACTGAGAGCTCAGTTTAATGATCACCCTTCGTTGTCCGCTGCTCTTGCCTGCAAAATAAAGTCTGCTCAAGTCGTAAGGCCTGGCGTGTCATTGGTTTCCCTCCTATGCCTTCACAGCGAATGGCGAACTAGCAGCACGACTGCTGATCATTTATTTATTTAGAATGTGTTTGAGAATTTTTCTTTAAAGCTCTGGTTCACTGAACACATCCATAAAATTAGAGAATGTGAATGCTTTCTAACTGTGTGGTTCTGTGTTGAGCCCCTCGGCAGTTCAGCGTTAATCTGGGTTACCAACTAACTAGGTGTTGACAAATGGAATGGCAGCTTCTAATTTTATAGACCCAGTTCTTAATAAATTTGGAGTAGGAATTTGCTAATTTTAACTACTGCATTGCAAAAAAATATTAAATTATGCCTTTTATTATCAGAAGAAACAATCCTTTTGTTCACTTGAATTAGGTATTTGATGTGAATTCAAGCTTTTAGTGGTGGGATCAGCTAGAGGAAATTTTATAGGATCCAGAAGCATCTTTGTTCCCAAGTGGCCACAACCGACACAGCTAAATTAGCTACGGTGGCTAAGTAACCTCCCATCCTTCAAAATGTTACATGCCTTGGGTGTGTGTCATGCAGTGTCTGCACCAGGCACCCTGTGGGGACAGAGTTAGACTGCTCTGAGACAGTAACAAATCTCCATAGAAGTGCTGCTGATTCAGAGCTGAGATAAAAGACAGCATCCAGTCCTTGGGGAACAAACAGCCTGACATGAAAAGTACACATACATGACAGTTTCATGATTGGCTTTGTTCTCAGAATCCCTTGTTTATGGGCTTCATTTCAAATGAATTCTGGTCCTTGGCCTCCAGTCAATTTAGCAAATACTGTGGGTTTGTAACTCATGATTCACATTCCTGTAATCCTACATTTTTTAAAATTAGTCCAAGTAAGAATACCAAAATTAAAAACAGTCTTGAAAACTAGTTCTAAGATTGTCTGCCTCAGATTTTCTTACCACCCAAGAGGCTTAGCAACTCAGCAAGTTTTCTAAGCACATTTTTTATTATAAAAGTACTAAAACCACATTACCAAAGGGAAGATGGAAAGTAGTAAGGTTACCTAAAATCCAATATGCTAACCCAGCCATTATTAACATTTTACATGTTTCCCCAGTGGTGGTGGTTTTAGTTAGATGTAATAGTGTATAATGTACATACAGTTTTCTTCCGTGCTGGCTTTTTTCATGTACAGTGGTGCCTCACACAACGAACTTAATTCGTTCCAGGAGCAAGTTTGTTATGCGAAAAGTTCGTTATGTGAAACGCGTTTTCCCATAACAATACATGTTAAAAAAAATAATTCGTTCTGTAGCATAAAATATGCTAAGATGACATAAAAAAAGATAAATTTTTTGTTATTTTTATTTAGATACATCTAAAAACATTTTTTTTTAAAAAAAAAAACACACATTTTTTTAATTTTAAGACAGACTAAGTAGAGTCTACCGAATCTTGCACATCTTCATCCATTTTCTGCTTTTTGGCCGATGGTTTCATGAAAAACCTGTCCAAAGTCGTTTGTTTTTCTCTTTTCTCCAACATCTGCCGGAAATAACGGACAAGAGTATCGGAGTAAGATCGTTGATCCTGTTTGCTTCAGCTGAATCCGGATAGTGGGCATTGGTAAACTCCTGAACTGCTTTCCATTTGACCAGGATGTTCTTGATGTCAGCAGTTGGGATTGGTTGATTGTTTGATTGTTGCTCCTCGTTATCAGATGACGCTTCCCTTTGAGCATTGTCCTGTTGCTGTGAAGTTCGTTGTGTGCAGCGTTCGCTGTGCGAGGCGTTCTTTATGCGAGGCACCACTGTAATAGCTTGCTCGTCAAAGTGACCCGCAAAACCCCTATAATGTGCTGGGGTCTCAGGATAGTAAGGGAAATAAAATATGAAGCCACAGAGTGTGTTTCCCTATACTGTTAATGCCAAAGACTCGAAAGTCTTTATATAAAAACTAGAGGCCTGGTTCACGAGATTCATGCACAGCAGGTAGGGAGGTCCCCTCAGCCTAGCCTGCACCCTCTCCAATCTGGGACCCCTAGGGGGATGTCCAACTGCTGGTTTAGGCCTGATCACTGGCAGTCGGACATCCCTCTCATAATCCAAGATCGCTGGTTTCTAACTGCTCATCTGCCTGCCTGCCTGATCACCCCTAACTGTCCCCCCCCACTTTTGCTGGCCTGATCACCCCCAACTGCATCTGCTTGCCGCCTGATCACACCTAACTACGCCCCCCCAACTGCCCCCCTGCCAACTGGTTACCCCTTGCCCCCCCCTTGCCAGCCTGGTCACCCCCAACTGCCCCCCAGCCAGCCTGGTTGACCCTGCAGCCTGCTGTTCAGTCATCCATCTGGTGGTTTTCAGTCATGACGGCCCCTGGATTTTTATATATTAGGATGAGTATGAGTATATTTCAATTTGTGTGAAGTTTTCCCTTGGAATCAGTCCTGTGGGGTTGATTTTCAGTCTCTCTGGGACTTTGGTCCCCTCTCCTCTGCCCACAGGAAAGGCTTGAAAAGCAACACCAGGCAGTGCCTGGCGGGTTTGCGTTTTACACCCATTGTCGCTAATGACTCCTTCATGCCCCATCTGGTGGCGGCAGGATGGTTGCCCACTGAGTGCAGTTTGCAATCTGTGTTATTTCCCGTGTTCTTGTTTGAGGAGTGCTGCCAGAAACAGCAGTGTGAATATAACTTGCTTTGTGCTTGGCATTGTCTCCTTAAGATGGATTTCCAGAAATAGATCTGGTGGATCACATGTGATTCGTGAACATTTGTCTTGCTTTTGTTTCTGTGAGATTTAAAAATATATATATTTGTAATGATTTCAGAGAGGAAGGGAGAGGGAGGGAGAAATTGAAACATCAATGATAAGAGATTCACTGATCGGCTGTGTCCTGCATGCCCCAGACTGGGGATCAAACCTGCAAACCAGGTGTGTGCCCTGACCAGGAACTGAACCGTGACCTCCTTGTTCAACGCTTGATGCTCAACCACTGAGCCACGCTGATGGCTCTGTGAGATTTTTTTCAACCAGTTTAATAGGTTTGAGCTAAATAAGGTAGGTAATTGTTTTATCTTCTATATTTTTCCTGTCACCTGCTCTCTGGATTCTTTCTGGACATTTGATCTCTTATACTTGTCAAATGCTCTGATGTTTACTGGCAGCTGGATAATAACTGAAAATGGCAGATGGCTGGGACGGGCATAGGGTAAAGGGCTCTCTGATTCTGCCTCCAGGCATGTGCTTTGTATTTTAATAGTTCTGTGCCCTGCCTGTCTCTAGCATTCAGAACCCGGGAAGCGCTCAGCAGCTCTCCACCCAGCACTGTCTGACCTGGCCCGTGCTGGCACCAGGAAGCAATCAGAGGCCTGTGGAATGAGCTCACCCACAGCACAGAGCTTACTGCACTCCACAGGATGCTTCAGGAGAGAGAAATGCTACTAAATCAGTCTGTCCTGTGGAAGCAGGGAATGGCGAACTTTTTTAGGCTTTGCCACATACCTACAGTCAGTGTTGCACAGACTTCTTTTTTAACCCTTTAAAAACATTAAAATCACTGTTAGCTTGTGTGCCTTATTCAGGGAGGAATCAGTCGTGGACCTCAGTATTAAAAGGCTCGCCATATGCCAAAACCAGTTTGGCTCAGTGGATAGAGCATCGGCCTGTGGACTGAAGGGTCCCGGTCAAGGGCATGTACCTTGGTTGCGGGCACATCCCCAGTAGGGAGTGTGCAAGAGGCAGCTGATCAATATTTCTAACTCTATCCCTCTCTCTTCCTCTCTGTAAAAAAAAAATCAATAAAATAAATAAATAAATAAACAAACAAACAAATAAATAAGTAAAGGGCTCGCTGTAGATCACTGAATGGAACAAAAGGGCTGGCCAGAGAGAAGACTCAATAAGGGGTGTGTTCTAGGCGTCCAGCCTCCCTGGTTCTACCTCCTCTCCCTGGCCCTCTGGCCCTTTTCCCTTCTCTTGCCCTTATTCCAGAAGGGACCTGAAATACCACCAGGGTGTCAAAAATTAACAGCTAAAGCAATGTTTCTTCTGGAGCAATTTTCACTCTTATGGGCCTGTGATCAACATTACTGTGTCTCCTCAGTCAGGCCTAGTCTGGGACTGTGGGCTCAGAGATGATAAATAAAGATACTGCCTCTGGGGAAGGGAGGGAAGCTGGTGAAAAGCACCGGGAGGTAAGGTGCCATATCCAGTGACGGCGGGTGATAACGGAAGTGAGCTGACTGGGGAGGAGTAGGGGTAGACGTTCATCACAGAAGGCTGTGTGGGACATGAACCCACCAGGTGCCGGGGGAATTGGGGAGGGGGCCTGCTGGGTCTTCAAGGCATCAGGAAGGGAAATGCAGAGGCCTAGATGCTGAGACATCCGTTGGTTTCAGGAAGCTCAGTCCCTTGGGCATTGCCAGAGCGTTTGAGAGGGGACACAGCTGGAATGAGTCATGAGGGCTGAATCAGGAGGCTCTCTGTGAGTCAGCCCCGGCTGCCGTATCAGAATACCACAGTGAGCAGCTTAACCCACCAATTTATCGTCCCACAGTTCTGGAGGCTGCAAAGCCCAAGGTCAAGGTGCTAGCCGACCCAGTTCAGGGTAAGAGTGCTCTCCCTGGCCTGCAGTGGCTGTCTGCTAACACCATCGCATTTGAGATCAGGGCTCCGATGTATGAATTTGGAGGGACACACACACATTCAGTCCATGTCAGACTCATACCTGTAGGAAAAGAGTGCAGTGTAGCTGTCCTGTTTTACAAAAAAAACCAAGCTGGTCATTTGTTTGAAATGCTCTGGAGGGAAGGGGCTGTAGCAGAGGAGATAAAAGAATGGTAAAACAGGAAATGTTGAGACGGAGTGATGGGCAAATGGAAGTTCATGATTCTGCGTGGGAACTTCCATAA